TGTCTCTGTACTCACTGTTTTCATTCAGGTTTTTCCACTAGTTGGTGCCTAATCCACTTCCGTATAGTTCCTTTCAAAGCTCAGGGTTCCAGGATTATCTTCTGTATCTCTGTCAATTGGTTTTTCTTTTCTTTGTTGAAGAGGGTCTGTGTTGCTTGTCTGCCTATTCCTCCATCTTACCGGAAGTCCTATAGGGGTATTTTGATCCTCTACACAAAAACACATACTCAGGAGGAGCACAAATCATACCTTTTCTGTTGGTAGTGCACTGGGGGTTGGAGGAGATTGTTTGCTTAACCTGCTCAGGCCACTTATTTGCTAAAGAGTTGTTACAGATAAACAAGTGTCCCAATTATAGAATTACTGGTTTCCAAAATAGAGTGAAAGGCTCTTTTTTTCTTACTTTTTTGACTCAGGGAAACTAGACTATTATCTATGTTAACTGTGAGGAGACTCATTTGAAATTTAGAGAATTTGGGATGTGAGACTATGAAGTCATGGGGATGATTTTCAGGAGGATTCCAAGCAGCATTAAAGCAATTCTAGTGTCTAAGGCATTTGACTGCTAACCAGAAGGCTGGTGGTTCAAACCTACTAGCCACTCCTCAGAAAGAAGGTTGGGCAATCTTCTTCCATAGTGATACTGCCTTGGAAACCCAAGGAGGAGTCGCTATGAGTCGGATCCAATTAGATGGCAATGCATTGTGATGGATTGTAATTGTAATTTTTATAAAGGTTAAGTAAAAAAAAGAAAAAGAGAAAAAGGAACTTGAAGTTGAGTCAGTAATCCAGGGAATGTCAAAATCTAACACGTATAGTTTATTTAAAGGTGATATTAAAATTAAAGGAGGTACATAGTATACTCCAAAATAGAACAATCTGGGAGATCTGAGTTTTTATGCATAATTTGTGGGGAAGGATGGCAGATCCAACAGTTGATTAAATTAGCAGCACTAGCTACTGATTAATACTACTACTGTTAATAGTGCTATTTTTCAAATTTATGCACAAACCACAAAAGCCAAAGGTGAAAAAATAGAAGACTTTTACCAATCTGAAAATAACCAAGCATGCAGTCAAGATGTATTGAGAATTACTGGTGATTGGAATGTGAACATTAGAAACAAAGAAGAAGGATCATTAGTTGGAGAATATGGACTTGGTGAAAGAAATGATCCCAGAGACTACATGACAGAATTTTGCAAGACCAGTGACTTATTCATTGCACATTCCTCTTTTCAACAATATAAACAGCAACTACACACGTGGACCTTACTGAATGGGATAGATAGGAATCAAATAGACTACATCTGTCAAAAGAGGCAATGGAGAAGCTCAATGTTATCAGTCAGA